TCCCAGAGAGCCAACAAATTCAAATTTGAGAGAGAAAATTTGTTCTCACGACCTCAATCTCTCAACATGCCATGTATTTTGATGACACTCGATTTGTGATTTCCTTTTCACAGACTACTACGAAACATGTCTGGTACCTCTATATATGCATTTACTTTCACATTTGAAGTCCCTCCTTTTCTACATATTCTGCGCAAAAGATACTTTATGCCCCGCCCCATTCATAAAAATCGTCGGGAAATTCTGTGAGGGGTGAGCTATTTTGTGTGCAGAATGTGTAGAAAAGGAGGGACTTCGAATATTAATCTAAATGCATATATAGGGGTACCAGACATGTTTTGCACTGCAGTGTCCTCTGTGAACAATTAACGGTGTGTAGTTTCCGATACATGTCACTGCAAACAACAGTGTTTAATTCCACGGATTTCACTCGAATCTGAATTTCAGATTTTGGATCCGGCGTGCCTTTCACAAGGATTAGATCTACTTAGTCTGAATTCAAATAAGTTTCAGAATTAATTATTTGAAGATTTAATTCCAATCATTTCAAGAGAAAATGTTCAAATAGGAGGAATTTCGATGACTTCTTGAGGCGATTAAAAAAGTGTTTTCTAACAGAATCATTGAAAGAATGCTGTGGTTTTATAAAGTAGCAGAGTTTGATGGAATTTTCCGAAGATCCTCTATGTTTTCAGAACGTTTCAGAGGAGCTCCCAATACGTATCTGAGTACAAGTCTTCAATATCTGTCATTTTTTCCTATTCGTCAAACCTCTCAGGAGTTCTTAAGCTTAGTTGCTCCTTCTTTCCATTATCTTCCTGATTATCTTAGAAATTTTACTAGATGTTCAGCAAATTCCAGACAAGTTGTAAATGCTGCATAGAAGTTTGGTGCACTCCAGGGAAGTCTAGCACATTCAGTTATGTGGTGTTCAGAGAAAGATAGTGAAATTTGAAGAAGCACAAGGAACATCATTGTAGTTTAGAAAACGACAGAAAGACTCAGGGAACACCTAAATGATGTTTGAAATCATTTCAGAAGAGTTTAGTAAATTTTAAATACGATCGATGGACTTAAAAAAATCAGCGGATTTTACTTCACGACAGTTTGGGAGAACTTCAGAAAAGTTTCGGAGCCTCAGAACGACTATTCCAAGACGGTCAAAATATCCTGAGGGAAGCTTAGAGTCATTTTAGAGAAGTTCAAATCATCCATAGGTTAGTTTGCGGTTCTTCAATAAAATTTAATAAACCTAAACAAAATTTGAAAAAAATATGTCTAGAGAACCAAAAAAAAAAATCTACGATACTTAAAAATTCATTGGACACATTAATAATAATACTTCAAACAACATAATTTTAATAATCTCCTGGAAGTGTAGGACTGGAAAAGTTTATGATACGCTAATGGAGGTTCACATGATTTCCAAAACCCGTTGGGATATTTCTCGTCGAAAATTTGTTATTACAAAGTATACTTTAAGCCTTTGAATTAAAGCTGAACTGGATTTAAGGCCAGCGTTGCCTGAGATACCGATATACAGATAAGATTTCTCAGAATACCGATTTTTGAATTACAATACCGATTCATATCGATTTTTTATTAATAATCAAAATGATTACTGCCTGCCCGCACTGAATTGTCAGAGGAAACTATTGTGAGAGACTTTTATCTTTTTGAAAATTAAAATGTTTGAGTCTCTAAAAAAATGCATCTTCAAAAATGTCTTATGCTTGATACTCTTTCGACTAATGCTTCCATTTCCTCCCCGTTTTTGGTTACCAAGGAATCGAGAAACAGCTGATGGTTCATCCCAAGTAACATTGCAAGTTTTATCACGGTTTTAAAGTATGCTACAAGTCTGAATCATAGTCTGCAGAACCCTCATAAAACCTCAATTGCTACTTGGGATCCCAGTAATTTCTGGAAATCGGGAAATACTTTTATTCAGTGGAAAAATAAGTCCATAAAAACAAAATTAAAAACGAAATTATTTTAATCTTTCAGGGTTTCAGGATAGTTCCATTTGTTTCAGGAGAATTGAGATATTTATAGGGAAGCATTAGTACATATAAAATCAAGGAAATTTCTGAACCTTTAAATAAGTTCCGAAAACTTCAGTTAAGACCCTAGAGTTTCATGAAAATTTTGGTAACGTAAAGGAAGTTACATGAACATAAGAAAATTGTGACATCATTTTTATCGGCAGTTTCGAGAACTTAAAAAAATAATAAAAAATCGGGAAGTTCAGAGAACTTTAATGCTGATGTTCATTAATTTAAAAAAAAGTAATTGAAAGCGCTAAAGGAACTTTTAAAGAAGATAAGAGATTTTCTAGTAGTTCCATAATAATCAGGGAAGTTATGAGTACTGCGAGGATGATCAGAGAACTTCAAAACAGCCTCATTAACTTTAGGAAAATTGCAAGAACTTTCAAGGAGTTCCGAAGAATTGTGAGATATTCCGAAGTGCAATTCAGGAATCTTCCTAAAACTTCAGGAACATTGTGAAATGTTCAGGGATGTTTTATGAATATCAGGAAAATTGCTGGATTAATAGAGCATGTGAGGACCTTCAGAGAATATTGTGCTAACATCACCCAGAAATCTATTTCTTCCATATATTTTCCCATCTTCTCCTTGAAGTATCTTTCGACTGTTCCGTAAGTCCTCTGGCTTCCGACTTTTTCCAGAATTGTCATCCAATCTACCTTAGGAAGATTCTCCCAGCGTCTCCTGGAAGTTTCTTCCGTCTTCTCCAAGAAGTTCAGTTAAAGTTCTATCGGATATATCTATCGAGTTCTCCCAGAAGTTTCTTTAGTCTTCCTCTGGAAGTTTCTCCATAAATCACTCTCCGTAGGTTTTTTTTTCCGCCTTATTGGAAGGTTTTTCCGAGCTTCTCTCAACTTCTCCTGGAAATGGCTCCTCCGGGATTGGCTTCCGATTTCCAAACTTTTCTGGCTTCTGGATTTTTCCGAAATTTGCCAGAAGTTTCTCAATATTTTTCTTGGGAGATCCCCATCGGATGTTTTTTAGAACTTCCTTCAAACTTCCTCCATAAGATCTTCTTTATTCTTCCTCTGGAAGTTTTGTTTGTACCATTAAGAGACTAATTCAAATATTTTCCAGAAGTTTCTTCCGACTTACATAGATGAATACCGATTTTTTGACCATTTGATACCGATAATTATGAAAACAATCTGGCAACGCTGTTTAAGGCATCTCAAATTTCTGAAAATGACAGCAATTGGCCCACGCAGTTTTTATTTTTTTCGTCTCTCTCTCTCTCATTGAACTTAATGTAATGTAATTATTTCGAAAACTATGCTAATAAGTGACATGCGCATTTACAACCTAGCTCTAGCTCTGAGACAACTACAGACATTTCATTAGCTTCCGTACAAACATTTTGTAAAAGTATCTGGCATCCCTATTCAATATGGTATTTGTTAATGTTTTCCATGGCCTTGGACATCGATTTTCGGTTTCTAGACGTCACCATGATTTCAAAAATACCCAATGTTTCAAAGTTTTTATAAAACCGGAAACCGCCATCTTGGATTTCAAAATGGTGGCGAATATTGATTTTCGGTATTTAAATGTCATTCTTGTTCTGAAAATACCAATATTGTAAGGACAGACATCAATTTCCGGCATCTACATTCGTCCCCGTTCCGATGTTATTTCAATTTTGCTTAATGTTTATTTTAATTTATCTCAATAGTCAACAGTAATATATTCCAATATTTTCACATTTCTGTTCCTCTAACTCCCCTTGGAGATAATTTCTTCCGCTGCCATTCACTCTCAGGAAGTGCTAGAAGAGACTGAGACCCAAGTTGCATTGCTAGGCGATTTTCAAGTTGACATCCAATCTAGAAGCAATTTTAAGAATATTAGGCTTAAGAAGCTAATGTAATTTGCGATGATTTTCAATGCTGCTATAACATTTGTAAATGTCCAATGTTTGATACTTGCAGCTGCACTTTCTTCTATTTTTCAACAGAAAAGATCAATACTTTTCAAATAAACCTGCTTATTGGCTTATTTCTGATAGACATCGGCCGATCAAATTTAAGTGCCATTATTGTATTGGAGAAAAGTATTGCTATTGCTTGAATTGATAGCATGCCTACGTCCCACAGCACATTTAGCAAAATTAAAATCAAACCCAATCGCAGCACGGAAAGCTACCGTCTTTTAAAATAAAACAACTCATAATCGAACATCATCGTTGCTTCCACTGAATCGACAGAAAACACAAACACACACTCACACACACACACACACACGAGAACCATTAACTTGTTTCCATCTGCCTTACTCATATTGCTAATTTCCAAGCGCAGTCGTCGTCGTCGTCGTTGTCGAATCACTGCAATCGCGAAAACCTATCCCCGCGCATAAAATAAATAAGTGCAGTCCTTTCTACTCCGAGTCTGTGTCTGTTTTCGCGATTTGCTCACCACGCCGCCATTTGTTTACGTGCGCAATGTTTTTTATATTTCAGTAATATTTTTTTCTTCTACAGGCGATAAGGGCATTGGAGCAAGAAACACAACCCTCTGCTCTGTCAGTCGGTCCTGTCTTGCGCTCAAGCTCATCATCAATAACTATATAATAAGTACAACACTCCATTTGTTCAGTTCTACTGAAATAACAACCGAGTAGAGGCACCGACTGACTCAACTTTCCGTGTAAAGAAGAGCAGTCGAGTCGATTGCCTTCTTATTGATATTCCGATGAGGGAAGATCGCGAGCGCACATGGATGACTAGATCGTCGGGTTTTTGCTTGCCTTGCAACTGTTGCAACTGCAAACGGCTTGCTCAGTTTGAATGGGGTGTCGACTGGATATGAATTGCCTTTCGCGATCGCGGAAATGTACTTCCAAAGCATTAAGGTTTTTGCGACTGATTCGGTTAGATTTCTCTCGAATTGCCACCCAATAAAAATCTGATTGATCTAATTTGACTTCCTTTTTTTCTTCTCCCAATTGCAGCAACAAAAATTCCTAAAGAGACCAGCAGACGACGTCGATTCCGCCTCCGACTCGTACGAACCACCGGTCAAGCTACAGCACAACGGATCGGAAAATCTTACCAAGTTCTCGGTGGAGATCGTCCAGCAGCTCGAGTTTACGACGTCGGCGGCCAACTCCCAGCCGCAGCAGATCAGCACCAACGTAACGGTGAAGGCCCTGACCAATGCGTCCGTCAAGAGCGAGGGTCCCAGTCCTGCCCAGCAGCAGCAACAGCAGCAGCAGTCGCAGCAGAGCCAATCGGGACCGAACGGAGGCGGAAATGGTGCGGGAGGTCCCTCAGGAGGTGGCGGAAACAATGGTGGCAATCCAGCAGCGCCATCCCCACACCTGCACGACCTTGGCCACATTGTGGACTTCAAGCAGGAACCGGAAAACGAGTTCGCCGATCTGTCGGCCGCACTCGAGAAGGACGCTGCCGCCAACGGTCACTTCCCGGGTCTGTCCGATCTCATCGGGGACGATACCAACGACGAAAGCGATACCTTTAAGGATCTCATCTCGGACCTGTCCGATTTCCATTCCGACTTTCTCGATTTTGAAGAGAAGCCTCAAACCCAACAGCAGCAGCACCAGCAGCAGCAGCAGCAACCTCCCCACCACCAACAGCACCCACCCCATCAGCAACCTCCTCCTCAGCAGATGCTACATGCCCAACAGCAGCAGCAGATCGAGGTGAAGCAGGAGGCCTGTATAAAGCAAGAGCATCCAAGTCCCGGAATGCTGGACAACATGGGCATCAAGCGGGGCAGTCCTGTGACGAACCAATTCCCGAATGCCTTCGGAAACGACGGTCTGCCCCCGAAGCGGGGTCCCTACGGGAATCCTCAAAATGGTCCCATGTCGGAACTGTCCCCTGCGGCCCAAACTCTCAAACACATGGCCGAACAACACCAGCACAAAAATGCCATGGGTATGGGCTTCCCTCCTCGAGGTCCGCAACCCAATCCACCCCAGCGGCCACCCTATTCCGAGTTTAGCCAATATGGTCCCGGTCAGGACTACATGAACAATCCCAACAACCCGGGAGGGCCCGGAGTGGGCCCCGGCGGTCCTCAATTCCACAAAGGCAACGTGCCACCGTTCCCCGGAGCGGACCTTATCAAACAGGAACTGTACTCCCCGCAGAACGAATTCGATCTCAAACCGCAAATGAACCGGATGCCACCGGGGATGGGCGGACCCGGCCAGAAGATGGGACCCGGTCCCGGTGGGTTCAACAAGCCAAATCAACAGCAACAATACTCGCCATATGGATCGCCGGCCGGTGGTCTCCCGAGCCACGGCAGTCCGCACGGTCCGGGATACATTCCGCCGAGGGGTCCGGGACCGGGCGGTGGACCTCCCGGCGGTAACAATGCCGGTGCTGGAGCTGGAGGTGGCGGTGCCGGAGCGGGTGTTCCTCAGGGAAGCGGTGCTGGACAAGCGAACGGTGCCGGCGGAGCGAATGGAGTTCCTCCGCGGGGTGGCCCAGGCCCAGGTCCGATGGGAGGCGGCCCACCGAATGCGACGATGCTGCAGATGAAGCAGACGCAGCAGCTGCACATCAGCCAGCAGGGACCGGGAGGACACGGAATTCAGGTGAGTCGGATGTTTTGGGGTGTTATTAGTGGAAGTGATTTTTTAGAACAGGTGTGGAATTTGTTCGATGGGAAGATTTTCTTCACCAGAAATTGACATTTTGAAATAGCAGAACACTTTCAAGTCATACGTAAGTTGTCTACTATGAGCAGTTCTACGCCAAATGACAAATCGGAAAAACTTGAGCTTCTCTGAATTGCATGAATATTATGCATAATTCTTTTTAATGAGCAATTATTCACATATGAGCTTAAATTCGGTCATTTTAAATCTTGTAGTTTTTTGTCTTTAAATGGCGTCTGCAATTTTTGAAAAAAAAAAAAAAAAATAGAACGGAAATCGCACTTCTGATCGAAATGATGTGTGATACAAAGTTGTTGCGAAACATATTATACATTCAAGTAAAAATTCCATAATAAGCTTAAATACCTAAATATATCAAAACGTCCTTGTCCGATTTCTGAAAATTATAAAAGAAAAGTTTCATGCAAATAGCAAAACAAAATTTAATTTTGAATCGAACTTCGCCGACTTGGATGAAACTTTGTGTAATGGTTTGTTATGAACGATGATTCAAATTGTTGCTAAAGTTCGGCCATTTAGGATCTTGTAAAAAGTTTCAAAATGGCGTCCTTGAAATTTTTCAAACAATTGTAGCACGCATTTTTTTATGTTGTTCTGAAGTCTGCAAAATTGTTTAAACGAAAAAAAAAATAAAAAAAAATACTAAAATTTAATGTTCTTAATTTTTTGTCAATTTAATTTTTTTTTTCTTTTATTATAGAGATTTTTAGCCTTTGGCTGGTTTATCTCTTGTTGTATGTTATACATAGTAGAGGGCTAATCAATAGTCCCCCTGGGCTTGTTATCACTAGTTAAGTTCTTCTGGTTATCCGTAATCTTGTTCATTTTCATTTGCCGTTAAATTTTATATAAGCTAAGTGTTTTAACATTGTTCCTGTTTTGGCAATTCAGTATTTCAAACAGGTTTTTTAAACCTGCATGTCAGTATAACAATTGATAGCTTAAAACTAAAAAACTAAAACTAAATCTTATCTAAGTATAAAGGGAATTAATCGTTGCAATTGAGGATTGCAACGATTTTTGCCTGAAATTATTAATTATTTTGTTGGACATTTGTTCTAAAGTCTCAACATTCGAAATTCTACGTACTTCGGTAGTACTGTACCAGGGAGGCAACTTCAAAATCATCTTCAGAACTTTGTTCTGAATCCTTTGAAGTGCTTTTTCCTGGTAGTGCAACAACTAGACCATGTTGGCACAGCGTAAAGCATGGCCGGTCTAAAAACTTGTTTAAGTATTAGAAGTTTATTCGTCAGGCAAAGTTTGGATTTCCTGTTTATAAGAGGATACGAACATTTTATATATTTGTTACAATTGGCTTGAATGCCCTCGATGTGATCTTTAAAAGTTGATTTTTGGTCAAGTATTAATCCGGGAGGTCCGAAGTGAAAATGTTATACAATATAGGCCCAAGAATGCTACCCTAAGGAACTCCTGCTCCAACAGGTAGTCGATCAGATTTTGTATTTTGATAATTTACCTGCAGAGTTCTGTCAGTTAAATAATTTTGAACTAATTTCATAATATAGAGTGGAAAATTAAACTTTTTCAATTTAGCAATCAAACCTTCATGCCAAACACTGTCGAATGCTTTTTCTATGTCTAGAAGAGCAACTCCAGTTGAATGGCCTTCAGATTTGTTTGAACGAATTAAATTGGTAACTCTTAAGAGTTGATGATTAGTTGAATGCCCATGGCGAAATCCAAACTGCTCATCTGCAAAAATTGAGTTCGTATTGATGTGAAGCATCATTCTATTCAAAATTATCTTTTCAAAAAGTTTACTTATTGAAGAAAGCAAACTTATTGGACGATAGCTAGAAGCTTCAGTTGGATTTTTAACCGGCTTCAAAATTGGAACAACTTTTGCATTTTTCCATTTATCAGGAAAGTATGCCAAATGGAAACATATGTTAAATAATTTTACCAAGAAAGACTAAGTACTCTCTGGGAGTTTTTTGATGAGGATATAGAAAATTCCATCATCACCTGGAGCTTTCATATTTTGAAACTTTTTAGTTATAGACCTTACTTCGTCCAAATCAGTCCCCCAGGAATCATAAAAATATTTTCCCGAGAGAAAATATTCAGAAAATCCCGAGCAACCTGATTCTCAATAGGACTAGTAAGACCCAAACTGAAATTATGGGAACTCTCGAATTACTTAGCAAGTTTCTGAGCTTTTTCCAAATTTGTGATCAAAATTTTACCACCTTCTTTAAGCGCTGGAATTGGCTTTTGAGGTTTTTTTTTTCAAAATTTGTGTGAGTTTCCAAAAGGGTTTGGAACTCGGGTCTAATTTAGAAACATTATTTTTAATTGTTCCTCAGGGAATCGCTTTTTAATTTGTTTTTGCAAATCCCGCCAGATAACGTTCATGGCAGGATCGCGTGTTCTTTGATATTGTCTCCTACGGACATTTTTCAGACGGATCAAGAGCTGAAGATCGTCGTCTATTATAATTGAATCGAATTTAACCTCGCATTTTGGTACTGAGGCAGCTCTTGCTTCAACTATAGAAGTAGTCAGAGATTCAAGAGCATAATTAATTTCATCTTTGGTTTGCAAAGGAATGTTTGGGTCGAAGTTATATTCCATAAATGTTCGATACTGCTCCCAATCAGCTCTATGGTAATTGAAAGTAGAGCTGTTGGGATTACAAATTATTTCACCCACCATCAAAGGTACTGGTTGATCCTAATCCAACCGATTGCCGGTCTCGTCTTGCAACGTCCAAAGCTGCTGCATGAAGATCTTGGCAGACGAAGTCGTGGCACCAATCAATCCAAGCGGATCGAACAGCGTTGCGATTAGTGACAATATTCGACGCTTCGTCAACGGGACGCCAGGTTCTATCGGAGGAATTGTGAACTGGAAACGAAGGGTATCGGTAATAGGCATCCACGTTAGTCCTAACGTTTTGACGGATTGATCAGAATCCAGGTTGATTCCTTTAGGGTCTCGAAGAGCCAGGTTTTCTTCGGGTACGCCTTCCAGAACTTCGGGAACATTGTAAGCCCACTTTCGGAGCTTGAAACCACCACACAGCATCATCTCGGTCAACTGGTTTCTGAGACTGATAGCTGCATCCACTTCGTCCGTACCGGTGATGACGTCATCCATATAGACGTCCTCACGAATTGCTCTTGCCGCGAGCGGAAATCGGTCTTCTTCGTCAGCAGCCAGCTGTCGGAGAGGTCGTGTTGCCAGAAATGGTGCGGGTTTGGTTCCATACGTAACGGTGTTCAGTTCGTACACTGCGACTTCCTCGTCCGAAGAAAAGCGAAATCATACGGACTGGAGTGGTCGATCCTTGAGCCACGTAAAGATTTGTCGGAACATCTTCTCGACGTCCGATACGAGGAGAATCTGCTTCATCCGAATGCGTAGGATAATTGACCTCAAATCTTCCTGCACAACTGGCCCTACCAGAAGCACATCGTTTAAGGACACTCCGGATGACGTTTTACACGAGGCGTCGAAGACTACTCTGACCTTGGTGGTGGTACTCGCCTCCTTGACCACCGGGTGATGGGGAAGATAACACCGTTTGACCGGTCCCTTCGTAGTTTCTTCGACCTTGCGCATGTGTCTTAGTTTCAGGTACTCGTCCATGAATCCGATATATTGTCCCCGTAAGTTGGCGTCCCTTGCCAACCTCCGTTCCGTTCCGAGAAGACGTCGGAATGCGATGTCCCGTGACTCTCCCAGGTTAGGAAGAACGTCCTCGTTTTTGGGTAGGGGAACAGTGTAACGCCCTTCTGGACTTCTTTGAACTCCACGTTGAAATAATTCTTCACACTTTTTCTCCTCCAGAGAATAAGCGTCCGTGAATTCCACCTCCTCGCACGACCAGAAACGTGCCATCAACTTTTCCAAGTCCTCGGACGTTGAGAAATGGCAGTTGACTTGTAGAGAATTGATAGGAGTTGAACAGCCACCACATACTACCCAACCGAACACCGAGTCTGTAAGGCTTGGTAGATGTTTGTCGATTGTAATCCTTCGCCCCGATTCGAAGAAAGCCTCAATGCCTAGCACAATGTCGACTTCCTTGGACGGGAAGAATGCAGGATCTGCTAGTTCAATTCCATTCGGTAGAATCCACCCTTCCGTGTTGATTGAGGTTCGCTGTCACCAAAAACCTCATATCCCGCGAGAAATCTGAGATTCGCGAACGTATGACCGCTTGGACTGTATGTTTGACCTTGGTAGCCCCTTGTCGACCTTATTCCTGATTACCTTCATCCTTTGGGTTAACCGTTCCGATACGAAGTTGCTCTCTGAACCGGAATCAAGAAGAGCACGGGCGTGATACCTTGAACCAGCGTCGTCCTCGACGATGACTACCGCTGTCGCTAAAAGGACTTGCGACGTGAGTTGATTAGACGTACCGCATACCGAAACGTCAGTGGCTGCCACGTTAGCCAGTTGGATTGAATTGGTACCTGAGGAGCCTTGGGATTCCTTGGAATTTGAAGGATGATTGCCCCCAGCAATCGCTGCGACCGTTACAGTGTGATCCTTCTCCGACTTGAAGCAAACCAGGGTGTGATGACAGATCCGACAGTGGTTGTTGCTGATGGACGATCTTGTTGTCCGTCTGCCTAGATGGAAGGGATTCCAGTACTTGCATTCGCTGACGCAGAAATTCGGTGAGGTCTGTCAGTAAATCCATCTCCTTGTTGGCCGAATATTCTTCCCATGCTCGACGAGTTGATGCATCCAGTCGCATCGTGAGCAGATTCACCAATAGGAGATCCTTGTACTCAGCAGATTCCACGATTTGATCAAGTGTTTGTACGACTCGGTCAAAACCTTCCACCAGATTTCGTAACTCAGCAACAGATTCCTTGGAGAGGGTCGGAACTTTGAAGAAAGATTGGACCTGCTTCTTCTTCAACAGCTTGTTGTTG